TAGTTAAAGCGGCTAATCCAAAAATCGCTACGGAAAAGTTATAAGAACATTTTACTTGTAGGCTTTTAAAAACCGAAAAAACCAAGACCGATTCTAAGATTCCAGGTAATAGGCAGTCAAAGGCTTGATCACAGCAACTGTGAAATAAGGCCTACTTTGGCGGCTTCTTAATACCGAATACCAAGCGAGCATTAGTCCTAGACTATAAGCGAAAAATAGCAGTCAATCTTCACAGCAGAACGCCAGACAGAAAGAAAGACTTTTTTAGTAAACTTCTTAAAACGAATCAACCAACTTGTTTTCCTCGCCCTGGCCTGGGAATAGGAATCAAGCCTGAGACATATATCATGCTTTTTAGTAGTTTCAAACTGAAAACCAAGTCATGTTTTAGCCTCATGAAACACATGAATTGAATTGATTTCCAAAATCGAACGATCGTTGATAAGATGGGCCCCAGGATCATATTCGCGTGGATTTAAGAAAATAAATGTACTTAAATAAATTAATAATTCGCATTATTGATCAATAACTGTATTATTAATGGAAAATCACCATGATAATAGTGCTCTTTATTTTGCTTATTTAGGAGCGGTATTCTCCCTTTATATGTTAAAAATCGGATATGCTTTATATTATTTCATTTTGGCAATTTAGATCTAAAATGAATAATTGAATAATCGTAAAAAATGAAAACTACTTTCTTTTTGACTGTGATCTGCAGTATCACTTTATTTACATTACAACAATATCTCTCTTACCGTACGAACGTATATCTACTTTTTCTTCGTGAAATAATTTTATACTTAGGTTTTTCTTGAGCTAATGGCCTCTTACTATACACACTTAGCAATGGAAAGTTAATTTATCAATTTCCATTGATGGTGACATAAACTTTACATTTTTTCCTCCAATAACTCTTCTTGATATACGTTTAGAATTGATATTCGGGAGGCAACTTGCACTAATTCATTTATGCTTTATTTAATAACCTCAAAAACTTATAAAAAGACATTGATCCTACATGTGTTTATGTACATAACTGCAACATTCATAATTACCTCCGTCTGGCATAATTTTTGTCACCTCTTCAATAATTTCTATAACTTTTATTATTAACTGAGGCACACTAGGATGGAAAATCTGTATTACTATAATCACTCTCTATTATTGATTTTACAGCTAGTGTTTCATAAAGGTAATGAACATGTAACAATTAAGTGAATCATTTATTAACTTTGCTACCTAAGCATTATCTTTTATTGTTTTATGTAAAAAGTAAGATTAAATATGGACGTGTTTAATTTAAAATGTAATATGTGATAGAACAACAAAAATCAAAGCACAGAAGGCGCTGAATTTGTTTGGGTCTCAGAATGTCAGAAAGGTGAAGGTTATGAGATTATAAAACAATTTGTTCATGTATAGCGCCACCAATGCTTTCCAGCGTTTTAATTGTAGTAGATTGGCTAAAAGACTAATTGCAACACTGATATTCAATCCAATGTTTATTTGACTTAAACAATTTGAAAAAAAAATGATTTGCCTTAACTGGGATTTGAACTCCAAACCTTTCGCTTCCTAAGCGAGCGCGCAAACCCCCCCGGCCACGGTGAATTTATGTATTAACGGTCTGAAGAAAACCATATTATTATAAGTTAGTGTTTGTAACGACGCTAACTGTTGTTTATCACTTGTGTAAATAATCATGGCGTATACTATAAGCATGTATATCTATAAAGAATAAAACAATATTAGAAATCTTCGACCAATCGGGAATTATTTTGCTTGAAAATTAATGCGCCTGTCATGTGACTATAATTACGCAGTGATCTCCCCTGAATTTTTCGGCCTTAGTGTTGCATATTAAGGGAAGTAACCGCTTCAAAAAAGCGGACTACTATAGGCATTTGCAATTAACAGCATTAGAGTCTGAAATTTCGCTACCATTATTTGTTTGGTCTGACGACCCAAACAAATAAAAACCACCATGGACTGGATCATATATTTAAATAAATATCGTATGAATAAATGCTGTATTCAGCTTTTAAAGTTGAAAAGTCTTCGTTTATCTATAATTTTATGCATTATTCAAAACTAAAAAAAATCAGTCTCTATTCTATTCCATGCAAATATCCATATCTTTATTAAATTGCGAATAAAACTAGATCCGTGTATATTCATTGACGCATTGCTTGAAATGTAACGATTTATGTCGAAAATAAATTACTAACCTAAAGATTATCATATTTACAGAGCAACTGTTATACCCGGTATAGTGTCTTTAATGGAAATCAATATTTTCATTTGTCAGGCAAAAAGCGAGAAAAAAGTAAAAATAAAAATGATAAAAATGTTCCAATTCATCGTAATACATTATGCAAACAAATCATAAGTAAATGATACACTTGAAAACTATTTAGATCTTTTTAAGTTTAGAAGCGATCCACTTTCTTGCAGCCTTTGGATCATACCCAAATGGGCCGAGTCCCTGAAACACAACTAATCCGTCTTTTATTATGTACAAAGATTCTGGTGCTGCCGCATATTTTTTGCTGCATTATCGTTCATATAATCAACAACAAGCGTGCACATTAATCCATTAGAAAGGGCTACTTTAGCGGCTAATATTCTCTCTTTTAAGGTCTGATGGTTTGCTATTTTATAATTGAACCCGGATATCGCCTAGCAGTCTTCTGCGTGCGCTTCATGGACATACACAGTTAAAAAATCAATGTCTGAAGCGAAGTCATCAACAAGCCGATTAAAATGGCTCAATTTCGCCATTAACGGGGGTCAGGTACAGCTTCCAAAGTTTATGACCAACATCCTCCCCCGCTTTTGAAAGTCAAGTAAATTCAACGTCTTTTTGTCCATAGAAACTACCTCCACAGGTGGAGCTTTAACACCAACTTTGACATTACAAAGTGACTTTCTGTAAATTTCATTCCAAGTAAACTTGAAATAATGACCTAATTTTCTGAATAAGTTATAAGATGTCTTGTTTTTAAAAACAAATCTGGGGAATCCTTTTGGAATGTACCCCTCGGGTATAACTCTCATTGAAGAATACCATATTTTCCAAGAAACATTATAGCCCAACAAACCGACAATTTTGATGCCATGTTTTGCTAAAAATAAAAATAGAAAATCGAATATTACATTTGCGTTGTATAAAGCATTCAAATGTGAATTTTAATTTATTTACAAACTCAGGTATTCAATAAATTCAATCTTTAATTACAGTTATAACATACTTTATGAATGAATTAGTTTAAATATCATAATTTATGATGAATTCCATTTGATATTGATGAATGTCGAGGGCGCTTGTTGGAGCTAAACAAATACTGGTTTAAAGAAATATGGTCGTAGACAAAGTAAGATCCGAACCCATGATCCTTGTATTCAACGACAGACACTTTAATCACATGGCCACATATCTCTTTATGTAGACGCAAGACAATACGAAACGATATTAGTCAAAATGTCGCTTCGGATTGTCGAGTGTCGCTTTGCATTGTCGAGTATCGCTTCGCATTGTCAAGTGTCGCTTCGTTTCGTTGTGTGTAGCTTCGCATTGTCAGGTGTTGCAGTGTAAAAGTCGGAAAAGATTGCGACATTTTATAAAAAAATCGCATCGTGTTGTCGTATGTTGTATCGCATTGTTGCGTGTCATGGTCCGTATTTCTGCTCAACCCAACACTCGACAACGCGAAGCGACAATGCAACAACGCGAAGTGACAAAGGGACAATGGGACAACGCGAAGTGACGATGCGACAACGCGAAGTGACGCTCGACCATACGAAGCGACACTCGACAACGCGAAGCGACATTTTTTAAATGTCGCCCTTTTTTAACATAATATTACTAAACGACATCGCGATATTTCATTTGACAATGTCGAGCGTTGCTTCGCGTTGTCGAGCGTCGCATCGCATTGTCGCTATGTCACATTGCATTGTCGTGCGTCGACCCTTAAACGTGACGGATGACATAATAAATGGCACGATAAGGACACCATAATAGTATTAAAGCTGCACGCCTCTAGACGAGCCGAAATATTTCAAGAAATAATGTTTTAAGATCTTAAGAAAAGTAAAAAGATTCAATATTTTATCAATCATATACATGTTATGTGCGATTAATGACTGATTTTGCAATATCAGTCACTATATTTTTTTCTGCGTTTCTAACGCAGTAAGAGGTATTTATGTATATTTTGACGTCTTTTCGGTAATTTACATGGATTGTAAGTGCCGTTTGCAATGTGTAAATTACTTTCTTTGTTCACCTCAAAATACTTTATTTTTAAATACATTTTCAAAATTTCAAAAAAGGAAAACATATGAAAAAAGACACCGTTTAAAAAAAGTACTATGTTCACAAAACATTGTGATAAAAACGACGATAAAGGTGTAATATAGTGTTCCAAATATTGAACCAAACCGAATACGAAATAATCTTAAATGTCGCAAGCTTAGTGCCTAGTTTTCTATATAGGTCGTTAAATGGAAGATAAGCGCATATAATGTGACACAAATATTAAATAGCTATCAACACGACGGTTAGAATGTAGGTTTATATCTGTTCCTAAATGTGCTTTATGCACACTTTTTTGATTTTCAGTTGTAAAGACGGGGTTAATATGAAGGTCACAAAGACAGGAGAAGTTGGATCGATCGAAGAAATTGTCAAATTGTATTTCCGTTAGGCGTTATTTTTAAATCAATTAAATGTGCAGAACTTTTCATAATTCTATTAATTGTGTAAAAATAGATGTTAACAGTTGCAGCCCCGACACAACCTAGCTACACTAGCAGGGTACTTGAAAGGTACCGAACTAAGTTCACCAAAGTACGGGCGGGGAGTTATACATTTTAATGGCTCGGTCACCATTTTATCAAGATTACAAACATTTCGCTCGCTGGAACCGAGTTTGCAACTACTTCATGTGCTGTCCCTTGTGTTATGTGCAGAAAAATAAACAAACTCAACAAAATGTTTTAATAAAAGATCCACTCAATGCTTTATTGTAATGTGACAAACTAGTTAATTCATAGACTGTTAATATAACACTTGACCTAATGCAGTTTAGAGAAAAGAAAGTTGATATCATACACAAGTATCTAAGATTTAAAATCAATCTTAAGTTAATAAAATAAAAGTCCGGTATAAAATATAGAATATTTACTTCAATTCGAATGAAAAAAAGAATGACAAAGCATTAACTGTAATTTAGAATTGACTATAGTGCGAAAGTTATCATTTCAACAACATAATAACAACAAACAACAACAACAACAACAACAAAAAAAAAAAAAAATCAAAACGAACAACAAAAATACAATAATTCTGTTTGCAAGCAGATCAATTTGTTGACATCATATCATGCTTATGATAGGTTTTAAACATGATGTTCATACTAAAACAACATGATTTGCTTGTAAATAGAATAGATGTATTGGATTTCTAAAGCTGTAGAAGTCTGAATAGATGCCATAAACAACAACAACAACAACAACAACAACAAGAACACAAAACACAAAAAATAACAACATCAACATTAATCAGCTAAAATAATAGTAAAATAAAGTCCCTCTCTCAGAAATGTGTAATGCACCACTACCCTGCCAACCATCATTGATTGCATTCAAAATACATGCATTTCGAAACAGAATAGGTAAATTAAGTACATCTTTTTTGAAACAATAGTTTATGTTATTAACAACTGATGTTTTTATTATCATTTCGACTTGTTTACTTTCGACGCTATAACTTCACGTACTTCTGCTGGATCATAGGCGTAGGGACCAAGGCCTTGATATATCACTTTCCCGTCCTCTATTATATATATGGACTCTGGCATTGCTGCATATTGCAATGATGCTTCGTTTTCCATTAGGTCAATGGTAAGAGGACATTTCAATCCTTTGTCAAGTAATAGTTTAGCAGCTTCAATGCGTTGTTCGATTGTTTGATGATAAGCAATAGAATAGTCATTACCGGCAATCTCCCAACCGTTCGTCGCATGAGCCTCTTGTATGTAAACAGTAACAAAGTCAACGGAATGGGCAAAATCGGTCACAATCCTGTTGAATTGGTCCAATTTCGCCATAAACGGAGGTCAGGTACAACTTCCGAAGTTAATGACTAACATTCTGCCCGCCTTTTGGAAATCCAAAAGTTTCATTCGTTTCTTCTCTAGTGACAGTACCTCCAGATCCGGGGCTTTCATTCCAGTCCGCAAACTACATAAAGCTTTCCTGTACCGGACTCTCCACATCACTTTTAATGTTTCTAAACTGACATTTAGTTTCATACTCTCTTTCAACATACGTGTCCGCATTTTCTTCGGTACTAACGCTGACGGCAATACACCACATAAAGGAGTTACGACGAATGCCATAACAGCCACCATTGAAAATGCAAAGGCTGTTTTCACAGTCGAAATAAATGCAGCCCTGCAAACATTCAAGACAGAAGACAACATTTTTAGCCTTTTAATCCTCTTTCATTATTTCAAACATTCATTTTGTGTTTTGATTCATGTCCATTTTAAAAATGCAGAATCGACTGAGTGACGATTTTGCAATGAACCTTTATATTCATCTTATATAGTGCACAACACGTTTATCATATCATATGGAGTGCATAGTTTTTAAAGGTGGATATCCCTATTCTTAATAAAAATGAAAAATGTTACAACTTATACAAGTACTATAACTTTTGGTAATATAAACATAATTAATTCCTATCTAACAGCTAATAAGACAAAATTACATTGTAACTTTTTTTGGAATATTTGGTAGCACATACCTACATGTGTATGTAATGTTTTTGGTCCGGTTGGATCTTTTAATCGCATAATCGTAAGTGTTGCAACGGCTTTGTACCGGTATTATTCACATGTGATAGGCCTGTTTTTGTGGTTTAAATTAGTCATATGTTTGCTAATTGAAATTGAAAATTGTTATCACAATCGACTTTAAAGTTAAAAAAGGTATAAAAGAGCAGAAATTCATATTTAAAGCTTTTAACCTTGGACGTTAATATGTTATTAGTCTTAGAACACACATGAAAGAAATAGTTAGATTAAACTGACTACCTTTAATGTAGCTATTTTCTGACAATATTAAGTACACTGTTCATGTAAAGGTTAACCACTAGGACATTGAAGGTTAAAAGACAGGCCATATTTCAGTTTTGATATGCTAAATGATAAAAAGGAGAACTTATTTTTATGTTTACCTTAAATTAAATCTCTATGCTTGTTGTGGTATCTTTGAAAAGAAATACAAACGTATTTAATACTTATTAACCGTGTATTGATAAAAAATGGGACACCGTGTCAACAAATAAGATTGTAAAATTAAATGGTCGCTTATATACAGCAGAACTTTTTTAGATTAATCCGTTGTATAATGAAAGTCCTAAACATGGGAGAGTATGGAGGCGATAAAACTTTATCATATCATCAACTTGATTGAATCTTTTTCCCCACCCAAAATAAATTTTCTTTTTTACCCCCGGGGGGTAAATAACAAAAATTTTTTTGGGTTTATTTTAGCAACTTTTCCCTTTGGGAAAAATTGCCCTTTTCTATTCCCGTAACATTTTCCCAAAAATGATCGACAGATGGGGTTTTTGCCCCAAAAAAGCTATAAAAATTTTTATTAAAAAACACTAAAAATCGGTAAAGTAAAACATGTACAAATTTTAAAGGAAAAATTTTCATATCATAGGGTTTCTTTTTTCTAAACTATAGTGAAATTTTTTGTATTTCAAATCTCAAGTAGCTTGTGACCGATAAACCCAAACTAAATTTTTCTTATTTAGAAAAGGGGTTTAAATTTGTCAAAATTTGGGTAGTTTTTTTACTTTCCCTTTCCCATAAATTTAACCCAAATTTTGTCTTTAAAATTGTCAATGATAAAAACTCTTTAAATAATAATTGTATATTATTTTCTTTCTATGCAACTTACAACTTTTTTTGCCATTTTCACTTGCATGCGATTGAATGTACATGTATCATATTTTCATGATTGATGCTTAACTCAAAATAAATATTCTGTTCTGTTCTATTAAAAAAATGTTGATTTAAAAGTTATAGACATATATTGTATATAAGTTTATGCCCAAGAGGAAAAGCGGGTGGAGATGCCAATCTACAATATGAACACCTAATTTTGGCAAAAGAATTTATATCGCCTATTTTAGCTAACGTATACACATTTATGTTACGTCATGGATATGTACCCGATAACATGAAACGAGGTGTAATTGTCACACTTCATAAAGGGTCAAACAAAAGAAAAGACAACCCTGATAACTACCGTGCAATTACATTAACTTTTAAATGAGATTCGAATTGACTCAACTTCGTTTAGAGCGATCAAATCTATGTACTCAAACATGCAAAGTTGTGTGAAATATCAAGGTCTACGTTCTAAGTGGTTCGATGTTCTACAAGGTACAAGGCAGGGAGGCAAATGTTCGCCAATTTTCTATCTTGCGTACATAAATGGACTTATCAACGAATTACAGGGTAGTGGTTTAGGTATTTGTATGTACGGACTGGACCTAGGAACACCCACAGTAGCAGACGACATGGTATTGATATCATTCTCTTCAAATGGTTTGCAGTCTATGTTGGATATTTGTTATTCATACGCAAGTCGTTGGAGATTCCAATACAATGCTAACAAGTGTTCGGTGATAGTATTCAATGAACGCCAACCTGATAGTAAAATACGACATTATATGCTCGGTGACAATTATGTTAATCAAGGAGATAGTTTATGTACATCTCGGCATAAAATGTGACTCTTTTCTCTCTACGAAATCCTGTATTGCAGATGCATGTAATAAACTAAGGGGGACTTTTTTGAAATATATGTAATAGTGGAGTTCATCCAGATGGATTAAATCCGGTTTCTTCTAAGATATTGTATAATTCAATAGTCATTCCGAAGAGTTTATACGGATGTGAGCTTTGGAGTAGCATTTCAGACACTGACATGATAAAATTAGAAAGATCACACAGATTTTGTATAAAATACATGCAGTCCTTACATATAAGTATAAGTACAGACTTTGCTTTAAGTACTTTAAATCTAAGTGCTTTAGAAAAAATAATTGAATATAGGAAGTTACAGTTTCTTGGTCAGTTATGTCGGCTTTCTAACCGATATTTAGCAAAGAATGTGTTTCAACAGACTTATTAGATTTATGAAGTTTGATGCTTGTTATCTGGGATTCATTCCTGATATATTCAGACTCTTGCAAAAGTATAATCTGTCTCATGTACTCCAGATCTATCTAAATGAAGGGACATTTCCTTCAAAATATGTGTGGAAGCGAACTTTGTTACAACATGTAATTAACCCTGATGTTCAAAACAGATATCTAAGACTTGTAGAACAGGATGAATTTGCGTTATTGTGCGAAATTTTGAAACCGAACAGTCACTGCTTATTATGGCAAACTGCTAGAGGAAATTCATATATGACAATACTCTGTAAAAAATTGATAGCTATCACTGGAAAAATATACTCTGCGAATTATTTACAGACGTGTTCAAAATGTTCATGTGTGTCAGATGATATTATTGTACATTTTATTATCTTCTGTAATGCAAATGAAAATTTACGGAGTGCCATGTTAAATCGTTTCATTACAGTGTTTGGGCTAGGTCTATTCTCAAATCTAAGGTCACAGAGCCCTCTTGAACAATGTATTACTTTGCTCAGATCGGCAATAATGGTATGTAATAACGCTTTCTTGAATTGTTGGCTAGTGAGGTATATCAATGCCATGGTACCCCAAACATTAACTTAGGTTCTATAGTGAAACTATGTGACAACCTATAATATATTATATTTTACATGTTTTAGGTATGCTGTTTAATTGCAAATTGTACTTTTAGCTTTGCCTCTGTTTGCCTTAAGTCTCAAACTTAGTTTTGTAGTTACGCAATTTTTTTTCTTTTTATTGTTAGAGTTTACAATGTGCTATGATGCACACATGTAGTCTGATTTATTTTTGCGTCTGTATTGTTATGGGCCTTAAAATTAACGATGTATGCTTATACAAAACTTAAATGTCATTGTCACAAACAGATAAACGATCTTGCATTTATGATTTTGCTATATTAAGTTTCTTTTTCTGATATACATTATGTTTGTCGAAATTTTTTCATATAAAGAAACATCTCAGACATCCCATCCTTTTGCTGTCCAGCTTAATGTTTTCGTTTCGTACTTAAGCAGGCTGTTGTTAAAGGTATTACTATATTGACGCTATTTTTGTTTGTTTCAGTCTATTAAGTTTCGATCAATAATTTCGAAATAGACTGTTCTATCAATAAAACTTTGCATTTACCACCAAAAGTAGTGTCTCTTATGTTCTCACTTATCTTCAATATTTTGACTATTATTATTGAAGAGTTATATTAAATGTTACCCTGGTATAGGTAGCACAAATGTAACTAAATAATATTCTACTAAGTAATGAAATCTTACTTCAGTCCTTAGTCTTTGGCCTCTTTACTGACACTAAATATTTGCATTTGTTAAATATGTGTACGTGTTATCAAAATACATTTGTGAACTCTCAAAAATTAGTACAATGTTATTGATATTTGATTAGTTTGTTGACATACTACTGTATTATGTTTGTTGAATTGTCATAATTTTGTATATATGTGTGATATTTATATGTATGCTTGTTCTGCTCTTCATTCAATGGAGGAATAAAAGATATATATATATTTATTCAACAAAACTTTATTAGATAAGGACAATCTACTTGTCATGATGGACGGGTAGGCAAGCAGGCATTCCAATTTATTAAACATTTTAATGTTCTTGTTTTTCAGTCTACTGTATTCTTTTACTGTTCATATGATTTACAATATTCACGCCCTTCATGAGTTCAACATTCATATCAAACTCTGAATACCTTCCAAATTCATGTATAATGATGATAATAAATTCCAGACATACTTTGTTATCGACAAATAAAAATAAAATCATAACCTCAAACGAATTACATTTTTTTTTATATTAAATTCTATTAAAAAATGACTTGTAATCAAACAAGAGCAGCCACATACCAAGAAGAAAACCAACCAAATGTCATATTCTGTATCTTACAGGCAGGCAAACTCAGTTTATCAGTTATTATAAAATTACACGAATACAAAACAATGAAAATAACTGTGGCGCTTTCTTTTAAAGTGCAATGATTTGAACAACAATATAGGAATAAAACCAGTAATATTTAGTGGTTGCTCAATAATTTTTAATATTTAACCTACTGGAACCGAATATTGTGTAATTTTTGCAACCCGTGGAGAGTTCGAAATGATACCGTTGACAGAAAAGCTTTAATAATCTTATCTTTATATCAGTTGACTTATATTTAAAAAAATGTATGAATTAATTTGAAAATGCAACACACAGTTTTTGTCATACGTGTTGTTTGTCCAATTATGATCCAAATTTATTCATAATTAATAAAAAAAATGAAGCACAATTGATCGAGTTTTGAAAATATCATAGACATAGAAAGACGAGGTCATTCAGGGGTCAATGACATATTTACTCAGGTAATATATGACAGATCTGTTCAACATGTTATGTCCAAATAAAAAAGGACAAATCCTTCAATAAAAACAATGCTATAGAACTCAAATAAACTATATTTATGACATTGACACTCAATGTCCTTTAAATCTTAACAACAAACTTTAAATTTCTGCATATGAAGGTTTTGTCTTATTTGTTGTCTTATCAATAAAATTTTTTATTTGTAACAAATTTCTAGCCGATAATATCACATTTCAATCATTTGACTTTGAAGGTCAATGTCATACTCTGTACAAATGACGAATTTATCCTATTTGCTGTTTTGCCTAAGTATGAATCAAATATATTTCAAAAACAATAAGATAATGACCAATTTCAGGAAACTCTTAAATAAGAAGTTTTAAAAATAAATACAGTAAATAAAATAAATAAAAATAAATGCACGCTTTAACAATCTTTATTTTCAAGCGGATAGTCGATAAAGAATGTATTGAAAAATGTAAGTCAAAATCCTCGTGGTCAATTAATTATATGCCCAGGATTCTCGTGGTAACGAACATTTCACTGGAAGGGCTGTTGCATTGATAGGATTGTCTCTTAAACAGAGTCTAGAATAAGGATTTTGAAAAATACGCTCCAATTCAGGTAAAACAGTAGCAATGTTATTGTTGTCTAGAATCAGGTAACGAAGATGTCTAAATCGAAGAAAACTGTTTGGGATAGTTTGAAGATTGTTATACGAAAGCATCAGATCTGTTAATACATTGTTCAGTGGGATAAAATCCTCGTTCACATACCGAATCTTATTGCTATATAAGTTAAGCTTCCTTAGCATCGGTGTATATTTAAGAATGTCCGGAAACTCATTAAGAGCTCCTTCAACAAGGTGTACTTCACGAAGGGTGGACGACAACGTGTAATTCTTTCGGCATACTTCGACAAGGTCAGTAGCATTGAGATTTGGCGATTGATGCATGGCTATACTTTCTAATAGAGGAAAGTCAGTAAAACCACACGGCAGCGTATCCAGGTCAGACCCATGAATACGGATTTCCTTTATCACGTTTTCAGATCCGTAGAATGGTCGTCGTGGTAATTTGTACTGCTGTACATCAAACAATGTCAATGCAAACACCTGAGTAAAAGAAGAAATATCTGCGGGCCATGTCGACAGGTTACCAATGCCCATTTCATAATAGCCAAGTGTAGGGGCTAGGTGTTGTAGAACAATTTGATCGATGACTTTGATAGGATTAAATTGTAGGGAAATTCCACCAAGTTGTTTTAGAACAAGAAAAGCTAAAGGAAATGATGATAAATTATTGTTTGATAAATCCATTTCAACATATATGTTTTCCATCCCAACGAACGCATTATTTTCGATTTTTGAAATATGATTTTCGTTCAAATCAAGATAAAGATACGTTTCATTGACATTGACAGGTGTGAGACCGATAAATAAACCTCCTGGTATATGTGTAAAATTGTTTTTCGTGAGTCCTATATACCAACTGGAACCATTTATCACAGGTTTAGATATCACAGAGAAGTCAGGAAATACATCAGAAGTCTCGTCGCAGTAAATGTTACTAGCCTGGATTTCTTTGTTATTTTCAAAGGTCTGGAATGTTCCACATGAACAAGAGGGACTTCTAGGAAGGCATTTGATTGTTGCTGTATCAAGGACAAAAGATTCTGTTTTCATTAAAATGGAAATTGAAAATACCTGAAATGTACAATGAGTTCAACAATTAGTATATATTTTATCAGCCGAAGTGGAAATTTATTTGTAGACTGAGAATAATTTGCCATACAGAACAACCAATAAATACTAGTATGTTCAATGTACTCAGAATTATAAAAATGTAAGTTGAAATCGTGAATTCGTGAAGTTGAAATCGGGAAATCATGAAGATGTTATCGGGAATTCATGAAGTTGAAATATCCCCACAGGTCTTTCGTACAAATTACTTCAAAGTAAAGCACTGATGATTTTATCTTTACATTCTTATGCATTGCACTCTTACAATAAGAGTGTTATGTGTGCGAGGTGAGGACAAACGGACGGACAGACAGACGTACTGATATTTTAACATGTAATATTATTACAATAAGCTAAGATTACAATATTTAATGATAACATACCATCAAAGTGAAGAATTCTGGTCTATTTGCCATTTTCAGATATGAATGGTAGTTTTCTGTCAAAGAAAATAAAAAGTAATCATTAGAAAAATTTAAGCTCGAATATGATAAATATGTCGTTGGTGTTGCACAAATTGTTGTATTTTGTAATGTTACCATCGATTGTTAACTTCATTACACAAAAGTTATAAATCATATATTTTCAATCTATCTAATTTATTATCTACAACTGGTTCATACAAATCATCAAACCAATGGTTGTTTGTTGTGGAAAATTGCGCAAAACAATGTGCACGTTAATGAGTATTCTAGGTATATACTTCATTAAAATGTCAAGAGGTTCGTCGAGGAGTAATAATACCATTTTTATATTTCCGAGAAGTGAGCCTAAGATTTGAAATTGTAGATCGAAAATTAAAATTTCTAATCTAGATGGCAATCGGACTCTTTACTCAAGCTTTGATCGATATTCATTATTTCAAAAAGGGTGAATATCGTGCCACAATAAGTTTTGAGTTCGAATATCCGACCAATGTATGACAAGCTGGCCTGCAAACAAAGAGCAAGTCTGATTTCGAGATTAAAATATACTAATTTTGGAAATATGGAATTCAATGGCTTTGAAGATCATCGGAACACAGGCAATATTCATAAAATCAACCCAAATAAATGAAAGCGGATATCGAGCTGGCAAGGGACAGGGCAATAGTCAATCGTAAAAGTTATTATCTTTTTTTATAAAAGGACGGAACATCGTGATTCAGTTCACGTTATTACATGAAACTCTGGAGATATAGATATATCCAAAATATGTTGGCTGACCAGTTCTGATTGCAAATGCACCAGTCCAGAATATTTTAAATGAAGTTGAAAATTAAATCTTGAGAGCACTAAGGTCTGGAATTTCATACGCAGGTGTCAATATTTTTTTCCCTTCTTACAAGCAACTAAATGTCAACAGGCTAGTTCTGAGTTTAGTGTTTCTTTCTTATATGTTTCCATATGCTCAGTTATGGATTTTTCGGATGGACACAATCAGTCAGAGCTTGCTTTGGATTCCCATGCTAGGGAAACCATCCTGAACTATAGTAAAAAAGAAATTGAAATCAATATCTCATAGCCGAGGCTATCAATAGTCCTTGTTCTCTAATACATATTAAGGAATGATAGAATAATCTTCAAGCTAGCCTGAGAATTTAATGCTTAAACGATGTACTTTATTAAAACTTTATTACAAAACAAATATGAATCTCAGAGCTCACTTAGAATTAAATCACAAATTTCAGCTGTGCTGCAACTTCTGTGGTATTTTCTGATTTCTTTGCAATCTAAATCATTACTAACTATCTATGTATTCTACCTTTTTTCCTGTATAACAGTTTGATTTATATAATATATATTAATCTTAGCGGCAAGCGATTGCCCGTCTATAAGCAGTTTGGAGAATTGATACATAGGAATGGAAATTTTTGCATGACGAGTTTGCATTCAATGAAAATCATTAAATTTCATTTTTTATGACAGCCACACTTTATCCTTCCATATCGTGGCTACTTCCTTAAAAAGACACTTAAAAAAAGTTGCCATTGACTAGGATTTGAACCTTAGGCCTCATCACAACCTCTGCACCACGGTGAAGTAATACATATAAGTATTAGGTTGATAAAACAAATAACTAATTTGAGTAATTAATCCATTTTGAGAATTTCCATTTCGTGTTTGTATAATTTATATCTATTTCGGAGATATTTTGTGTCACCGAGTAAACCTGTTGTTTAACAACTAGGAAAATAATTTAGAGGCGAAAATCTTCTCGACAAAACAGATACGCGATGATTTATGTGATTTCCATCTACTCGAAGTAGATTTATTGTGTACTACGTCCTCTGGACGTATTGGCGGTATGGACATAGAGTTAGAAAATAGCATTTTCATCTTGGATCTCAGCTTAGCGCGAAATTATGCCGAACAGTTTTTCATTGGGCGAAGTTCTTAATAAAAAAGATATCATGCCGCGAAATTTGTGATTGTAGGAACTCATATTTCTATCTGATTACTACTAAACTTTTTAATCACTGTAATCGTTAAATGCCTACATTAAAAATTATTCTTGTCTTTTTAAATTGCTGGTTTTTAAAGAGATTTCTGAGTGAGAACTAACTTTGCGTGTTTTAGTGTCTGTTAAGGCAAAATTTTGTGTTAGACCGTGGATGTTCCAGCTTTGTATTTAAATTAATCTGGGAAAAAAAACGACCTAAGAGTCATAGGTTCTAACCTCCTAGAATTCGAACTTTGGATGTTAGATTTCAGATAATTTTTTCGAGCTAAACGGTTTATGTCTCGAAGCTTAACTTTGCATATACTTAAACCAAACAAAGCATATATGTATTAAAGATAGCCACTACACTTAAACAAAATACTCATGATTCAAGTAGGCTTCAAACTAAAAGGTCTTACACAATACCTTCAAATGATAGCCTACGTGTAATGTTACGTGTGTATTGCTGAATAAGGTATAAAAAAGCATTGCTTATGACATTTACATTTATAAAGTACGACGTTTAATGTTCACTGTTTGAAGAAAAAGTTGTTGGTGCTCTGTCATCTTACACTTTGGCAATGGAGCGTTGTCGATATTACCTGTTACTGTAATGATCGTAGATCGAACGAAACTAATTGTTAACGATATTAAAAATCTTAAAATTAGAAGAATGTCCTTTACTTTTGATTGTGAAATTCATTCTTTGGCTGCAACGTACAATAGATAAGCTTTAAAGTTTTGCAGAATACAAAATGTGTTTCCAGCTGTATCAAATGGATCTAAATCATTACGTTGAGACATACTTTCCACAAATAAAAGTAATATCAAGTTATAAGATAATTTTCTTAACCAAAGATCTAATGTATCCTTCTTTCAATTTACTAATACTAATATATTTTCTTTCTATTATGTGTGGGATGCTAAAATCTATTATAACATTTGGTTAATATTTTGGTTGTCCTATGCGATCTACTTAATTTCCTATAACAAATGCTAACGGTTTAGGTTTATCAGCGATGAATTTAAAAGATATCTATGTGAGGTTATTTGTACATTGTATCATAGTTTGGGGAACCTTTCTGTTGAAAATGTGTCAGACGTTAAATCGTATACATGCGTTTAAATGAAGTGGCACGGGTATTTTAGGTTACTTCCAGCATCCAGATGTCATAGCACCGTCATTGATTGGCTCATTTTTGCTGGGAGCGTCAGAGGAAGGGAAAGCGATATTTTAAAATATCCATACGGATATAGCTACGTTGTACATACTGAGTTTCTTTTTCTGGAGAACAGTATTTCCAATTGACAACTTATGGAAGAACCCGTGTTTTATATTGACGCATATTACAAAAGAGAAAGAACATTCAACAACTTCGTGATTCAATCTGCATTTTATAATTTACAGGGGTTCTACGCCAATTCTGTACATAACTCAGGATAGGCAACTCTGGTTGTGTTATTTACGAGATGCTCTTTCTTAATACTTAATAGAATGATACAGTACATTGTTACCAAATCTTAGAATGATCTGTAATTTTTAAGAAATAACTCAGTACGCAGTGATCTTAAAGTGGGGCAATATATTATTATCTTTCCCACTCCACACGATATGTGGTGGGAGTACTATATAGTGTTCGTTGACAATTATTAATTGATAGCACATCGCCTGTATCCTGTAGGTTAAAACCTTATTCAACTGTAATGTTAACATAATCGTATATTGTAATAGATTTTATAAGTGAAATACTTCCAATCAGAAACTATTATACATCTAATATACTGCAGGATTGAGAGTAATTTTACAACGTGTTGATAGCCAAACAGAAACAGAACAGTGACTCGTTTGATAATGTAATAACGAATATATATTTTCATCCAGAGATTCTGGGTTAAAATATAGGCAGACCATCATGAACTCTAATTAAAGAAGGACGCCTTGAGTTTTCCAAAATCCAAGATTATTGTAGACATATTGTACTTTCTATTCTTACTTATACCAATAATAAATAAAGATCATGTATAAAATATTTATGAATTCTGTTTTAGTTTTAACTTCTATAATAATATTTTACTATATGTGGGTAGGAGGACTGTACTCGATATATTTGAATAAAGTAATGTCAAGCACACCAGCATTGGAAGAACTGGTTTGTTTTACTAGATTAAGATTTCCTATATGTCAGTATGTACGCGGAAATACGCGGATAATCCATTCTGTACATCTCTACTAATGTGTCGGGAGGTTCCTATCACGAATTTTGAGAGATATGGTCATGTGAGATGAAAGTTGAATGAATGTAGTAAGACACGTGATCTGTCCTCATCTTTTGGAGGCGGACTTCATGATATGAACATAGACTTGAGATATTGCTTTATAATGAATGCTTCAATATTAGAAGATACTGTACAGAAGAGTTGCAATACTAATGAATTTCAAAACCGCACTTATCATTGTGAGTTTCATCTATATTACTCTCGAGATAGACTAGAACACGAACTTGTATTTCAGTATATAGATACTATTATTAGTAAATTATTGGTCTATCGAGTTCGTGGATTTTGCGCTCAGTTATTGACTGTATTTTCCTGCAGGAACTATAAAAGCCGTCATAATCATTTTCCAGTTTAAGAACTTTACTTTAATGACAATTTCACCATATGGGTTAAGCCAGTCATGACCTAGTAGGCTCCCCTTGATGTCTAGAAACCAGACCTTTTAGGGTTTTCCCGTTGGAACAACTTAGGAGATATCATCCGTAGGATTTTGTGTCAGCTTGATCTTAATAATTCCCTAAGGCTCAGATCTACTGAACCTCGAGGTACATTTGTTTTCGTTTAGAATCTTCCCAAAAGCCTATCTTAATTCCACGTTGGGTTTTTTCAGCTTGACTGATTCCCATATATAGGCTCAGAGACTCCGGACTCGTTTTCGTTATGTTACAGGATTCAGAATAACTATCAATCGTGGGTTGGTCAGCTTGACGTAATAGCCCTGACGGCTAGAATTTGGAGCTTGTT